ACATACTAGCATAATGTATAATGAGTAGTTCCCTGCATTATTTTAGGAAAAAGTTTTGTGATTACAGTATTGAGCTGCTGCAATGGAGCAGCTCTAATGCGCCATTAAAATGAACAGTGAAAGTAACAAAAGCTTTTTAAAATACATTTTAACAGGTATAATTAAGTGTGGAAATAATTGAAGGTAATATCTGTTTGCTATATGAACATCGGCGAGTACCAAAAATGAAAGTATTGGTATCGGACTTGTTCTGAAAAATGTGGTATCGGTGCATCCCTAGGGCCCTATCATACACCCGGTGCAATGCACGGCGCAAGTGTTTTTGCTAGTTTCAGTTCTCATTTTCCTGTCCTGCGCCGCGTTGTTTAAATAGCAAATGCATTTGCGCCCATTTGTGCGCCCATGGGCGTGCTGGTCTAAAAAAAGAGGTGTGTTCAAGCGCATTGTTGGCGCGTTGCTATTTTGAGGAACTGAAAATAGACTGTGCCATTGACCAACAAAAACATGTCACATACACTTTGCTTATTACACACACAGGAGCACACAAACATTTTTAAAAACGAAAAATTAAATTCCGCCATGGCGCGAGCGCAACTGGCTCTTAAAAGGGGATGGGAGATGAGACTCTGATTGGTTTATTGCACGTTACGGCCAAAAAACACCCATTACTCATTAAGAGAACAGGGACAACCCTTTTAGACCATGCGCGGGGCGCGCCGACTGTTTTTCCGTCGTTAAACTAGCAAAAGTGGATTCAGACACGCCCTGAGTGCACCTGCGCCGTGCGCTTTAGACCATGCGCTTAGATCGTTAAAATAGGGCCCAAGTGTTTGTAAGTGCTGCTAAAATGGAGAAACAAGCTCATTTTGAGAAAATGATGATTAACAGGGGCGGATTTAGTGAATTGGCAGGCAAAATACAGGAATGGGGCCCTATACATTTGCACACATTTTCCTAGATCAACCTTGAGGTTCCTTTTTTGTCGTCTTGCTGCTGCACAATGGTGCCCCATAGTTGTGTCCAGTGTTTCTACATTTTTCATGTAGAGATGCAAGATTCAAAGCGTTTATTGTCATGTGCACAGTAAGGAAAAACAAGTTTCCCTGTACAATGTACATGTTATAATGGCTTTCTTTCATGTTGTAGACCACGAAATAGCAACTGATTTACAGTTGAGATACAGGTTTTCACAAAAGCAAAATAAATTATAACAAGATAAACCTCACAATTGAGCGTTTAAACCAGGGCTGAGTCAGAAGTATAAATTATTATATTAATTTAAAACGGGGTTAGGTGGGTGGATTTTCGCATTGAACAAAAACTACAGACTGGATTATTGAAAATGAACATTCATTCTCTGCCAGTAGGAGGCGCTTTTGGAACGTCAGAAATATAGAATGAGAAAAGTGTGAAAAAATATAGCCTATATTGACGA